CCCCAAAACCCCAAAACCCCAAAACCCCAAAACCCCAAAACCCCAAGATAGTAGAGACCTTAAATATTTATAACACTTGTTAATAATTAATAAAAATGCTCAGCTTTTTGTTCCAGATCTGAGTGGTCTACCCTGTCATAGGCCATATAACTCATTACAAATTTAATGATTCCAAGTGGGTGAAGTTCATTGCTTGATTCGTCATCATCCAGGTCATGATCTTGGCTCAGTTGAGCCTCTTCTTCAGCTCGGAGAAGCAAACGATTTATCAGATAATGGATATTACTAAGAATACTCCAATTTCAGATATCAGGAAGTCCTTCAGAGAAGCCAGTGTTAAGTACCATCCTGATAAGAACAAGGATCCTGAAGCTAAAGAAATATTCTACAGCTTGAGCGACAGCGTCGAGATCTTAAAAGACGAGGAAAAGCGTGAGATCTACAATTATTATGGAGTCAAGAAATACGATAAGGTTCCAAAGCCAACAGCCATGGGACCTAGTGAAGAAGAATACAAATTTCAGTTGTTTTTCCAAAAACTGATGTTTTGTATAGGCCATATTCCTACGTACATTGCTTGGTTCTTTATCCCTCTGGCTTACCTCCAGCAGTCACAGAGGAAGACTAAGTATGCTATCATTGTCTTTGTCCTGGCTCTTGGAGCTCTGGACTTAGGCTTCATGACCCAGGTGTTGCCTCCAATCATTTCTATGTTTATTAAAATGATTACTCCAAGCCAGTGGTTGTATAAGACTATGTTCAAAATGATCCAGACCTTGCTGCCCAGCTTGATCTGTATCATCATCGCTTACTTTGATATCTTCATACTGAAGGTGCATGAAGTCAAGGAGAGTGATGAAGAAATGTTCAAGAGTAATATAAAAGCTCAGAACAAATTCTGTAAGAAAATGATTAAATCCCAGGAAGAGCTTATCGACACTTGTGAGGAATTTATTAAAAGCCCCACTAGGTATTCTGGTCAAGACAGGAAGCCCATTATAGATATGGCTAAGAAGATCCACAAACAAATGCTAATGATCGGGAATGTTGAAGGAGAGAATCAGAAAATTGAAGGTAAATGGACTTTTGGCAAGATCATCAGCTTCGCCTTCTTCATCTTCATGATGTTCAAGAGCCTTTATTAGTTATATTCAACACCAATTCAAAGGAGCGGGGTTTTGGGGTTTTGGGGTTTTGGGGTTTTGGGG